AGTGGGGTGGGGGGATGTGGTGGGGTGGAGGGGTAGTAGGGTGGGTAGTAACGAAAAAACTGAAATTTAAAAAAAAAAACCTTTTGTGGAGAGAGGGGGTGGGGTGGGATTGGTGAGGGTAGGGAAGGTTGAGAAGGAATTTTGGAAAATGTTTTCCCTTCTCTTCTCTTGATAAGGAAAATATTTTCCTCCCATTGGAGGAAAATGAGTTGATAAGGAAAATGTTTTCCAAAACATTTAAGCCAATCAAACATGAAAAAATTGGAAAACATTTTCCGAAAAATATTTTCCTTCGTACCAAACACACCCTTAATGGAAAATCATTCCTATATTCTAGAATTTGGAATCAGAAACCCACTTTCATACACTAAAGAGGCCTTAGACATAAGACCTTACTTCCTCGTCTACATCTTTATTTTTTATTGAAAAACCTATGTTATTGCATCATCCTCATGAAGAAAGAAGAAGAAAGCAAATTAAATTTCTTAAAAGGTAAGATAATTATTTCCTTATGTGGGTCATTGGACATATGCTATGTCTTGTCATAAAGCAGTTAATATATACTTCCCCAATTTATGTGAACCTATTTTTTTTTTTTTTGGCCCGTTCCAAAAAGAATGACCTCTTTTTAAATTTAGAAAAGATTTAGCTTAAACTTCCAATTTTACCCTTAATGAAAAGCTTTTATAACCACACAAATACTCTAGACCCCTTTTTGACTTGTTCAAGTTCAGGACTACAAATTCAAAAAGTCTTTCATTTTTTCTTAAACTCCGTGCCCAGTCAGACAGATTCACATAAATTGAAACAGATGGAGTATATGCATATATCCATTATAATGCATTATTATAATGCTTACAACAGGCCAAAAATAAAAAGCAAAAGAAAATGAAAAGGCCAATATACATATGTGTAAAGAGAACCTATCCGTTACTGCTACTTTTTGTTAGAAAAACAAAGAGGCTGGTTCTCTTAGACCAGGACAGTTAGCTATGTTCTATATATCCGCTAATCAAAATTCCTAAAATCACAAATTGGGTATGTCCTTTGTGACATTCTCTGAGTGTTTGTTCTTATGTGGCAATTTGCAGCAATCGTATTTGCGAGGTTCTGCCTCAGTTAGCATTTGAACAACTTCATTCATGGTAGGACGAAAGGCTGGTGAACTATACGTACAACCTATTGCAATCCGAAGCACCTTAATCATCTCTTCCTTGAATGGCCCTGAGATTTTTTTGTCTAAGACTTCAAATGCTCCTTCTTTTGTGTCCACCTTAGTTGAAACCCAGCAGACAATGTTCTTATTCTCCCCAAATTCTCGCTCAACTGGCTTCTTCCCCGTGATCAGTTCCATTAAAACAACTCCAAAACTATAAACATCACATTTTGTGGTCGCCTTGGAAGAATATGCGTATTCTGTTAAACACATTTACCCAAAAGATAAGCATTAACCTAATATATATGAATACTTATACAAATTCACAATCATTTCCAGTTAATAAATATGACTGGTGAAGTCTGAATTGTAAGTTTCCAATTTGATAGAAATCATAATAATCTACCTAAAAGATAGTCAGATTTATGCATACTTCTAGTAAAAAGGGGGTCTACTATTCGTGAATGGACTAGTTTGGCTTGGTTTCTTTTCTTTTTTTCCCCCTAAATCTGGTAAGCTGTTTTCTATCCAAATGAATTTGCACGATCACAACCATGATTAAGGAATGTAGCAGTTGCTCCAACAAGCTAACCAAAGGCATTGAGATTTGTGAATTGAGGAAATTACCTGGAGCCAAGTAACCATATGTCCCTGCAATAACTGTGGTAGTGCAATCTTTCCCTCCTTTGGCTTGCAAGACTTTGGCTATTCCAAAATCCGCGACCTTTGGCTGGTAATCAATGTCGAGGAGGATGTTGGTGGATTTGATGTCTCTGTGAATGATTGGCGGCAAAATATCATGGTGAAGATAGGCCAAACCTTGTGCTATCCCCAATGCAATCTGATGACGAGTCGGCCAATCCAAAAGGACTTTTCCTCCATGAAGAGCATCGCCAAGGTTCCCATTTGGCATGTACTCGTAAACCAACAAACTACAGTCCAAATTAGAGAAATAGCAGTATAACTTCACAATGTTGTTGTGCCTTATGTTACCAAGAGTTTCAACCTCTGTTTTAAGTTCCTTGTCCAAAAATAGTTTATTCTCTAAAAGAGAGTACTGCTTGTGTTTATGACTCCAGAGCTTCTTTACAGCAACAACTCCTCCATTACTTAAGTCAATCTTATAGACAGCTCCAGACCCTCCATATCCAACAATGTTTTTCTCAATCATGGCTTCAAAAATTTCACGTTCATCAAAACTTAAGCGATGGAAACTCTTAACATCATAGGTGAAAAATGACGATGACGACAAGGAATCCTCGTGTTCCATCACCTTCCTTTTATTACGAAGCCATCTCTTGAGAAATAACACGAGTCCAAGAATTACAATTCCCAAGGATATCCCGATAACCCAAAAAAAGTTTCTTTTCTTCCGGTCATAATTTTGTGGGCATAGAGGAAAATCTTTACCAGATGAACTCAGAAAAGAGGGAACACAGAGTCCTTGATTGCCAGAAAAACTTTCCAGGACACCTCCCGTTATAAATAAGGGAGGTACAGGACCAGAAAGCAAATTGTTTGAGAAATTCATGGAATTTGGTAGCAGTGCACCGAGGCTTTCAGGAATCTTACCCGTCAAAAAATTGTTTGACAGGTCAAGATAATTGAGAGAGTTAAGTGAAGAAAGAGTCTCAGGAATGGAGGAAGTTAACTTATTACCTTGTAAGATCAATAAATTGAGTCTTTTAAGGCTACCAATTTCTGGAGGAATGGGTCCAGACAAGAGGTTATTGCTGAGGTCAATCTTCACTAGATTGGTAGTTGTTGAAATTTCAGGAGGAAGTGTTCCAGAAAGCCTGTTACTCTGCATGAACAGCTCCGACAAATTATTAGCCTTTCCAATGGTTGTGGGGATTGAACCAGTTAAATTGTTATAGCTCACGTCAATAATTGAAACATGTGGAAGAGCTAGAAGCATTTCTGGTAGTCTTCCCCGCAAAAGATTGTAACTAACTCGGAATCGGAAGAGAGTCTCACATTTTGCATAGCTTTCCGGCAATTCTCCTGAGAACATGTTTTGGAGTAAAAGAATGTACATCAACTTACCTCCGTGACACAGCTGAGCTGGTAATTCTCCAGATAATTCATTTTCTGACAAGTCCAATGCAAGCAAAGCTGATGAAACACCAAAATTATGTGGGATTTCTCCTGTCAGGTAATTATCATAAAGTGATAGGATGGTTAGGGTGGTCGAGTTTGCAAGGGAGGCTGGAAAGTCTCCTGAAATAGTGTTGTTATATATCTGCAACACTTGCAGCTTTGGTAGGCGGCATATAGATTCTGGAATTTTGCCTGTCAATCTGTTGACTGACATATCCAAATCTACAAGTTCAGTCAGATTTCCGAGCTCCTCAGGTATTTCACCCTCAAGTTGGTTGTAGTAAAGTTCAAGCATTTTCAACTTCTTCAGCTGCCCCAGCTCTCTTGGAATCCGACCAGTTAAGCGATTCTCGCTCAATTCAAGATCTACAAGAGACGTCATATTTCCTATCGATGCTGGGATTGTTCCATGTAACTTGCAAGCAGTTAAGATCATCCACCGGATTTTAGTCAACCTTGAAATATCCTCTGGCAGTTGCCATGGAATGAAATCATGATTTTCATTGAGATCAAGCAGCTCTAGACTGGTGAGGTTGATAATTGACAAAGGAAATTCACCCGTGAAGTGGTTATATGAAAGGTTAAGCAACCTCAAAGATCGCAAAGGAGACAAGTCTGGCAATGGTCCTGTAAAGGATGTAGAAACCATATTCACCTCTTCCAGGTGAGAGCAATTAGTAATATTGCTAGGGAAGGCACCCTGGAAGTTGTTGTTACCAAGACGAAGAATTCGCAACCCTGGGAAAAAAGAGCACACATCATCAGGAAATAGGCCAGATAGCGACCATCCGAAAAGATCAATCTTGATAACATTCCCCTGATCATCACAACCAACGCCACTAAAGTTGCAAATAGGTTTGCCATCCCAATCAGACAAGGAGTTCCCAGTGACAGACTTCTTCAAAAGAGCAAAGAACTGAGACTGGTCATTTATAGTCCCTTGACAAAAGCTGCAAATGGCGAGGAAGAACAAAACAAGGATAATAAATTTCTGAGGAGCCATTAAAAATAGTTCCCAAGTGAATTATTTTATGTGGTGGTTATTTTTGTTATTGCAGATAAGATGGAGAGGACCAGAGGGAAATATATAAAAGGGATGATTGATGGGATCATGGGGTACAGTAATAAGAAGCCCTGATGATGAAATAGGAGGTATGCTGATTTTGCAGATATAAGCTTTATGTTTATACCCCCACCAGCACTTTAAGAGAAGAATAAGATCGAGATAAAGCTTTTATGCTCAAGTGTGGTCTAAATAAACAGCATCTCATCTTTATTTTTGTGCATGTCTTTGTTGATCAAGACCTCTCAGCATGAATCAGAATATTTAAATACTAATCTCAATGGTGCATGAATTATATTCGTGCTTATAAAAAAGGTACTTATTAGATTAGGTGGCAACTAGTGTAATTTGTATTATATTTATCTTGTCGCCTTCCATCTAAGCATAATATGTCTCAAATACACTCTTTATCTGCAAATGCTCCATGTTTGTATATTTATTTCCAAAATGATCAAACAGGAGCAGAGGCGGATCCAAGATTTTAAAAGGATGGGTGCACTATTATAAAGTGGTGGATCTAGAATTTTCATTTGACGGGTTTAACTTTAGTCTCTACCCTGAACCCACTATACTTTTGAAATTATAGGTTCAAAATTATACTTTTTGAAATTTTATTGATTTTCACATATATATATCTATACTACATGTTGAAAACAAGACCGTCCGGAGTGAGTTTTGAATCCCTAATTTCACTTGTTGAGGTGCACCTAATAATAATTGCACCATATAAGTCCTTGGGCCTGGGTGCACATGCATATATTTCAGTAATTTTGAAAAAAATATTATATTATTATACATAGTTTAGGGAGAAGAACATGGGTTCGCGTGAATCCATACACTACGGGTTAAGGGTTAGATACGGGGAAAAATTCAAAAATAGCCAGATTTACAAGTGGTCGTTCAAAATAGCCCAGTTTCAAAAGTAATCGAAATTTAGCCACTTTTCATGTAAAGATAAATCTGAGCGAAAACACTGTTCAAAACCCGGAAAATACGCCAGTATATTATGCTGGAGTTCCAGCATAAGTATACTTGAACTCCAGCATATTATACTGGAGTTCCAGGATAAGTATGCTGGAACTCCAACATAATATGATGGAGTTCCAGCATAAGTACACTAGAACTCCAGCATAATATACTGGAGTGCAGTAAAGTGTACCGGTCCAGTATAATATGCTGGAAGTTCATACACAAGTGCTCGAATCTCCAGTATATTATGCTGGAACTTTCCGTGTGTTGGAGTTCCAGCATAATATGCTGGAAGTTCATACACAGGTGAACCGAACTCCAGTATATTATGCTGGACCGATCTCTGTTGCAGCAAAATAGTGTCTATTTTTCATTGACTTGGTAAACATTAACTATTTTTGAATGACCAATCCGAAAACTGACTAGACCGTGCTATTTTCCCGCACAGAGCCCATACTCCATAATTCCTTATCCATATAGTATTTGCTTAATAAGCATCAACTTTCTCAACTGGTGTGGTTTATGATATGGTGGGCGTTGCTTTTATTATCCTAGTGCTTATTTTCTTTAATCAATTTAGGCTTCGAGACAAAATGCCACTGACTCGCTCTATTTTAGTAATGAACTTTGGTGTCATCCCAATATGTTGGTTCTCAAAAAGATTGGACAACAAAAAGATTAAAAGTATCGATTGAAAATGTCTTTCAAATAATTTTGTTAAGCATAACAAGACTTTAAATAGCCAATTAGGAACAAAAAATCCACATAATTTAAAATTCTAAAAACCTAAAATATCTCAACTAACTTAAACAATTAATAGAAATTTAAAATTGAAATTAATCCTAAAACTAAGCAATTTATTATGCAACAAAAACTGAAAGCAACAAAATTTCAACATAATAACTAGTACCCCCTCCGTCCAATTTTATTGAGGGATATGCACAAAGTTTAAGAAAAAAAATTCTATTTTTGAAAGTTTTGATTTAAAACATGACATGAACATTTTTGTAGCTATTAAATCATGTCATTAAGGTAAAATGAAAATTTTAAATTTAAATCATTTTTAAACATAAATTTTTTATAATTTCTTCTTCGGACAAATAAAACAGAAAACTTGTCGCACAAAATGGGAATGTTGGAGTAAATAAACTTGTACCCTTGTCCATTGTGCTATTATACATGAGGTATGCCACTTGAACAATACAGAATGTCACTCCTATATGTCAATATTGGAGTTGAACTATTATGATCTGTTTGTTATACTTTAGCTTAATGTGACCATGACCAGACAAAAGAAAAGGGGGTACATATGCACATGTATTTCTAAGTTATTCTTGGTTGACCTTGATGAAGTACATTCCGTCTTTATATGCCATTAATCTGTAGGGAGGGAGGGGGGGGGGGGGGGGGGGGGTATTGCAATTGTCCGGACAGATGAACGCGGATAAGCTTGAATATATGCTCGATGTTGAAGACTTAAAAAATAATAGAAATAAGAATGTCTATTGTTTAACCTAAAATCGTGATAATTTTAGGATATGAATATCAATATATAACTTCAGTATAATTACAGTAGAATGTCTCAATCACGATGGGCAGTGGGAAGAGGGATTGCATATGAGTAAAACCGGGGTAACGAACACCCCGATTGCCCGGTGGGGCAAACGAAGTGAGGACATAACTGCATGTAATCAAAATCGAAGCCGGGAGCCGCCCGTATCAAGCCCGAACAAAACGCCTGCCCCCGGAGCCATCAAGACCCTGCCTCCGGACCTGATTCGAATAACGAGACCTCGGAAGGCATTGTCAAACGTCCGCACACGATTAACAAAGGGCTGTAATATCCGTGCCCGACTAGATATCATGTAAATCTTTGCCCGTATCAGCAGTTAATAAGTGATTTGCGAAAAGAAAGATCTTTACCTTTCTTAGAATTGTACTTAGGGTAAAACTCCCCTACTATATAAAGGGGAGGTTTATTATTCAATAAAAAACTCTGTAACACGCATACAAAGTCAATATACACCTCTTTTCTCTATTATAAAAGTTATTCAAAGTTCTTGCTTTTGTTGATAAGTTCTTCATAAGTGTTGGCTCAGAGCCGAAGGCAGACTTCTTGTCAAGTTTTTAACTTAGCTGGATTCATTATCATCATTGGTTTGGCTATTTATTCTACCTTTTACTTGCTTATCTAACTCATTAATCACTTATATTGAATTAGTCAACATATCCTTAAACCACGAATAAGTTCAATTGTTATCGTTCTTAAGGGTAAACGATCCAATGTATTTCACGATTTTACAAATATGAGCGAGTTTATGTTAATTAGCCTCGGGTAATAATTCTTTATTAGCTTCTTCCGAAGACTAACAAGACTTCCTAATTGAGTTATCCCTAAAACAATTAAGAGATTAAGCACACCCGAATGTGGCTACAAGTAGTTCAATCCTATCCCTAGGTAGAATCTATAAAGTGAAGGTTAAAGCCTCAAGTTCTTGTTAATTAATCTTCCCAACCCCAAGTTATCTTTCCCAAAATTAATTCGAAGTAAATGGGCGAGTCCTAGGCCTAGCTAATCCCTTTGAAAATATTAGGACAAGAATAATTAAAGAAACAATAACTCACTTCATAATAAATAAAAATCGTTCAGTACATAAGCACGACAAGTGTCACGACCCGGATTTCCCACCCTCGGGAGTCGTGATGGCGCTANTTATCGTCACCTTGTTCAATTGCCGGTAATCAATGCACATCCTTATCGATCCATCATTTTTCTTCACAAATAACACTGGCGCACCCCAAGGAGAAACACTAGGCCTGATGAAACCCTTCTCTAGCAAATCTTACAACTTGTCCTTTAACTCCTTCAACTTCGGCGGGGCCATGCGATACGGCGGAATAGAAATGGGCTGAGTGCCCGGAGCCAGGTCAATACAAAAATCAATATCCCTGTCGGGCGGCATACCCGACAGGTCTGAAGGGAAAACCTCGGGGAACTCCCGAACAACAGGAACAGAGTCAATAGAAGGAACCTCTGTGCTGGAATCACGAACATACGCCAGATAATCTAAACACCCCTTCTCGACCATGAGTCGAGCCTTCACATATGAGATAACACTGCGGGTGGCATGACCTGGGGTCCCTCTCCACTCCAATCGAGGTAAATCTGGCAAAGCCAAGGTCACGGTCTTGGCGTGACAATCCAAGATAGCATGATACGGGGACAACCAATCCATCCCTAATATAACATCGAAATCCACCATGTCTAAGAGCAATAAATCAACACGGGTCTCAAGACCCTCAAATACTACCACATAGGAACGATGAACTCGGTCGACCACTATAAAATCCCCCACCGGTGTAGATACATAAACAGGAATACCCAAAGCATCACTAGGCATAGTCAGGTAGGGTGCAAAATAGGACGACACATATGAATACGTAGACCCAGGGTCAAATAGCACTGAAGCATCCCTATCACAGACCAGAATAGTACCTGTAATAACTGCATCTGAAGACTCAGCCTCTGGCCTGGCTGGAAGAGCATAACACCGGGGCTGGGCCCCACCTCCCTGGACCATATCTCTGGGACGATCGGCTGCTGGCTGGCCTCTACCTCTGGCGGTCCGAGCTCCACCTCTATGATCTCTACCTCTAACTCTATGGCCTCTACCCCCGCCTCTAGCTGGCTGGGCGGCCTGTGGATCACCTGATGCCTGAATCATAGGACGAGGACCCTGCTGCTGAGAGCTGTCAGAAGCTCGAGGGCAATACCTGGCAATATGTCTCGTGTCGCCACACGTGTAACAAGCCCTCGACTGCTGAGAATAACGAAGTGGTGGTGCGCTGATAGGTGCTGATGGTGAACTGAGAAGCTGTTGGTCAGAAGACTGCGGCTGAGAGCCACGACCACCTGAGGTACCATGTGAGACCTGTAGGGCTGACTGAAAGGGTCTCGGAGGATGGCCTCTACCATAAGAATTCCCACCTCCAGACGAGGTACTACTGAATCTACCTGCATGACGGGGTCTCTTGTCTGACCCATGACCACCTCCCCGTGCAAGAGCCATCTCAACTCTACGGGCCACATTGGCCGCCTCCTGGAAAGAAATCTCGCTACCAGCTCCCCTAGCCATCTGGAGACGGATCGGCTGAATCAATCCATCAATAAACCTTCGTACCCTCTCGCGCTCCATGGGGAGTATAACAATAGC